CGGACTGCGTCCTCGCCAAACTTCTCGACCATCTTCGTGCTCAGGATGGAGGCAGGACTGCAGGCCACCTCCATTAGCTTGACCCCTCCATGGGCGAGTAGTGCCTCGAGGTCCTCAATGTGGTCGTTCTCCTTGATGCATTTCGCGAGCCAGCGCTGCTTCCTCGGGTCCAGCTCCTTCGTGAAGTTCAGGCTCCGTCCAGACCATCCTGACTGGAACCCACTGAAAGGAAGCTCCCGTCGGCTGTGCTCGGTGCCCTCGGCTGTCCCTTGAGTCTCTCCAGCCTCTGGTTGAGCTGGCCCAGCGCCGACAGCATCTCCTCCTGGACGCGGCGGTTGACCTGCTTCTCCTCCAGGTCCGCCGCCTTCTTCACCTCCTCCGTGAGCTCGTCCTCCATCAGAGCGTCCACCGTCCTTCGGCGAGATGACCTCGCGCCCCCTCGAGCCTTGGTCGGCCCCACCGGGACATTCACGTAGTCCCTGGCCATCTATTTCTCCAGTTGGACGACCCCCGTCCCGTGGAGCCACGAGACAACCTCAGGAGCTCCCAGCTGCTCTCGGCGTTCGCCTCCTTCTTGGCCCACTCGGCGTAGGACGGGTACTGGTTCAGGACCTGCTGATGGGTGATGGCGCCGTGCTTCCCGAACCCCATGTAGTCGGTCGGCTCCGGCGTAGGCTTCTGGAGGACTGCCTTGCGCATCGCTAACTTTAGCGAGGCACTCATCATGTTCGGCGTGATGTGGGCCCCGACCTCGGTCGCCTTCTCGATCAGCTCGGTCTTCTTCATGGAGCTGATGCCCTTCACTGCCTTCTGTGCCTCTGTCTTGTCTTGTTCCGTGGGAACAGGTTCTCTTTGATGATCTGCTTCAGCTCGTCCGAGCTCCAGGCGGGGCTGAAGGGAAGGCCAAGCTCCTCGATCACCTTCACCGCCTCTGCCTTGAGGAGTCACTGCACCCCGCTGCGTGATGTTGGTATTGCCCATACCCGAGTCGCACAGGCACGCGGTCCCGACGCAGGCGAGCTGGATGGCCCTTCGGAGGAGGCCGCCGCAGAGCATCTCTCTGCCATCGACCGGCGACGGCCGGGAATATGGATGATATGGAAGGTCTGGCGGTGCTGGTAGTTTCACAGAGTCGATCAATCCATCTGCTGGAGATCGTACTGGGCTCGAGCCGCAACGGCTATGGACGTCTTCGTGATCCCCGCCAGGATCTGGTGACCAGTCCGTCTGACCCTTCGATTCTGGCTCGACCGACGGTTGGCTGATGGTGGTGGTTGCGAGAGAGGGAAAAAAGGTAGATCCAAGTATTCCTCATCTCGCACTGTGCGCCGATCCTGGCACTGTTCTGAGTCCTGGCTCGCAGCTGCACTCTGCCGGCCCCACTCAGAGATGTGACGGCTGATCTCGATGAAATTCTGCAGCTTGGCCGGGTCCTTGACCTTTTGCTCGAGGAGGTCATCCACTAAGCTCATGTAGCAGTGCCCACCGTCTGGCGACTCCTCAAGCTGGACTGGGACGTCCAGGGCCAACTTCACGAACACTGCAACACCTGTGTCGCAATCCACGACGGCCTCCAGCCTCTTCAGCACCTTCTTGGACACGAGGATCGGGACATCCTTCGCGAAGCCGCTGATGGCGATGTCGCCCTGCACACCCGCGCCCGTGATCCCGAACTTCACCTGGCCATAGGCGCGATCCTTCTCGCCATTCTCGAAGCTGTGCACCGGGCAGTAGTCAAGGTCCACCTAGAGCCCCGTCTCCCCGCACTTCTCCATGTTCTTGCGGGCAGCGATGTCGAGCGCACGCGCGCCTCCGATGGCGTCTGTGCAACCCAGGTCGACGATCCCCTTGCCCTCACGGATGGCCTGCCCTGCAAACATCGCCTCGCACGGCGAGTCCCCAGACTCCTGCTCGGCGACCATCGCGGCCATGAGTTTGAACTTCAGCTCCTTCCTGCAGGTGGCCACCTTCGCGCTCGCGTCTGGCGAGCCCGTCGTGCCACCTCTGAGGCGTGGGTCATGGCGATCGGGACAGTCCTGCAGCCAATGGGCTCCACCGCATTCCGTGCACTTCTTCTGGCCCTTGTTCGGCGGCTTGAGCTGACCCCTGCCCCCGAACTGGTGACCCATCGGCCAGCGCGACCCGGCTGGGAATCCTCCGCCGGCTCCTCGGCCACCTCCCTTGACAGGGTTGCCTGGTCGCCCTCCACGGTAGAAGCCCCGGCTCAGGCGACTGTCCGTCTGTGCCTCGCGGGCCTGGCGGAGGGTCCGCTGGGCGCTGTGGATCGCGGCCAGGGCCTCTGCCTCCTCTCGGGTCGGGCGAAAGGGGGGGATTGGGAAAGGGGGGGTTACGAAATTTGCTGCATGCAGCTGGTTTCGGCCTCACCGAGGGGCCCATTCCTCGATACATAGCCGCCTCCGGCGCCGGGAGGCGCCGGGAAAATCAGCTACGCGAGCTGATTCTCAAACCCCCCCTTTGCTATCCCCCCCTTTCGCCCGACCCGATCCTCATGCTGGGCTGCCAAGTACGTCTCGATGTCGTCCCCATCGGCCTCGGCCTGGTCCGGCTCCTCATCGTATGTCCCCGGAGGCTCCTGACCCGCCGGGAAGCTGCCCGCGTCCAGGTCGTCCTCCTCGGCATCTAGCCATGTGCAGTCATCCTCACCAAGCTGGGCTGCACATGCCTTCGGGTACTTGGTCTGTCCATCGCGCTCTGCTAGGTCATGATCCTCCCAGCTCGATATCAGCTTCTCACGTATGATGTTGACGTCTAGCGATCCTCCAGTCGCGGTCAGGATCGCCGATCTCTCTCTCGAGAGTCGAGGCCAGAGCGCGTGAGCATCAACCAGCCGAGGACAAGCCCTGGGAAGACCTCTGGCACTACATCGAGCTCCTCCTTGGCATCAGCATCTAGGGCTGCTGCACTCCATTGGCGGGAGTTCTCGGTCTCATCGTCTCCTCGTCCGTCCGTGTACTCCCACGTCCATTCTGAATCAAACGGCCAGTCTTTCTCGATCCATCTCCAGACGTCTTCTGGACAGTCGGCGGTGAGCTGGCCACTGAGACTGATTGTCCCAGAGCGCGCGCCAGCGCGCGTCGGAGGTAGTGGTGGCCTGTCTCGAAGCGGTCCGTCCACTGCTGCATTGGCTCGAGCTTCCTGCGCTTCGTCTTGATCAGGAACGTCTCTAGCTCCTGGCCGACATCAGGGACAGCTTGGCGCGAGCATCTCCGCTCGAGCCATGCCAAGAGCCTCTCGACCCCGTCTACCCTGGAAAGCCAGCCTGGCTTGCGGCGCTCGACCGCGACCTCGGCCCTGCTGGTGAGACGTGCCTCGAGCCTCGGGCCGCACAGTTACCTGTCCTCTCGCTTGATGCCCCCTGGTACTGGAGAGCCTTCCGTCTGTACGTCCGCCAGGTCTTAGGGTCTCTGTCCCAGCCTGGCACCTTATCCCGATGATCGTTGCTCGACTTCATCGCAGGGTTCCGTGTCCACCACGTGCTCCTGCTACCATGCAAATCTAAGTGGGTATAGCGCAGGGTGTTTTTTTTATCTCTCCACCCCACGATCTGCGTCAGATCGGGCTCCTCTCCAGGAGCCTCAAGTAAAAAACGTGTGCCACTAAGCACAGGCGAGGGGGCGCTCGCTCGAGAGAGAGAGAGAGAGAAACGGCAACGGGCACACACAGCAAACGCACGCTCACCTCACACGACATTGCTCAGGCTTGTCAGTGATGAAATCCGCACCATAGGGGATCCCCCTGGAACTGGCGATTGCCCCGTAGGCCCCCACAGGAGCCCCCCTGGGAGCCACCAGTCCCGCTGGGCTGCGCCGGCCGGCGCCCCGCCGCGACCCGCCGCCCCCCCCTGCGGCCGCCTGCGGCCTTCTGGGCAGGCGCCAACAAGGGCGGTTGGGAGACGCGGCCTGCCACCCAGCAACATATCGAACAGGCCCGATGTTGCTTACAAGATTGCTTTACGCGCAGTATCGGTCGAGCTTCGGCGAATCCATTGCAGGGCGGCCGCGCGCGGTCAGGTTCAGCGCATATGTTGTCGGTGTTGGTTGCACTTCCTTCTTATTCTTCTTCACTCTTGCTCGTTTCTTCTCTCTGGTGTCTTCTGTTTTCTTCTTCTTACCCTTCTTGGCTCCCGACGGGGCCTGTCTGGGGGTGATTGTGGGGGTCATGGGGGCCTGCGGGTGCCCTGTCCCAGGGGGCCCCGGGAACTCAGGGTGTGTTGTACAAGAGGGCCAGCAGCATGCAGGGTTTGCCGTTGTTGATGCCGCCCCTACACCTTAGGCGATGCTTAAGAAAACCTAAGTTTTCGGCCAGAGTCTCGATTATTCTTAATGTTTCAATGTAAATCCTAAGATTTGAATGGACATTCTGGGTTTTTATTTGAATTCTGAGACTCTCAATTTCTTAACCCATGATTTCTAAAGCATTTCGCAGGGTGTACGAGACAGTTGCTGCCAACAGGTTGAAGCGCAGAGTGAGGGTTAGATGCGCCCCCGTCAGAGTAGCGAAGCTTACTCGGCTTTGCTGCACAACGGACTTACTCGTGTGGTCGGCACATTGCGTCCGCGAGCACACAACCAGTTTCATGGGAAGCTGTAGCACAGGTGCTGTAGCAGCGACTGGCTCGTCTTTAAGGATATCCGATCAGGCTTGAGTTTACCATCGCTGCTTGTGTGATGTAGTGCTGACTGCGTAATGCCGTCGTCCAACACGTTGGCTGAATGCTCGAGTTCCTAGGGAGAATCGTGACCCTTCCCCCCTTCCCCCACCTGCGACACAAGGGACAAGTACCCCTCACACACATATGGGCCCTCACGTCCAAAGGAGCCGTAGACCGCAGCAGCTTGACATCGAGCCTTCAAGGGTTTGGGGCGATCGCTAAATTCGAACGCAGCCATTTTCCCTCCGCTCTTCCTTCCGTACCTCTTTTCTTCGCTTCGCCCCTCCCCTCCCCTCCCTCCCTCGCATATGCCCCTCCTGTACCGCAGGCTCTTTGCTATTACCCGCACCTGCAGCGGCAGTTCGAGCGCGAGGCGCCAAGATGGGGCCGGATGCCACCAGGGGGGGACCGGGATGCCTGGCGATTCGCGGGCGTCCCAGGGAGAAGGAGAAGGCGATCCTTCCACGCCCCCTCCCCTTCCCTCCTCCTCCTCCTCCTCCTCCTCCTCCTCCTCCTCCCCCTCCTCCTCCTCCCCCTCCTCCTCCCCCTCCTCCTCCTCCTCCTGCTCCTTCTCCTCCCCCTCCTTCTTCCTTCCTCCTCCTCCTCCTCCTCCTCCTCCTCCTCCTCCTCCTCCTCCCCTCCTCCTGCTCCTTCTCCTCCTCCTCTTCTTCCTCCTGCTCTCTCCCTCTCGCTTCCCCTCCACCCAGTCTCCATTTCTTCTCATTCCCCCTGTCCCCCTGCGGTCTGGGGCACCTCCATAAGAGGGCCAGGCCACCACGCCTCCACCACGGCACCACCACGCCTCCACCACGTCTGACACCGCCAGCCTCCAGGAACCTCTGAGCCTAGGTCTTTGGAGGCCACCCACCCTGCAAAATCTCCTGAGGAAGGGCGCTTCCAGAAACAATGGGGAGGTGATGGAGGAGGAAGAGATTGGGAGGGAGGGAAGGGAGGGAGGAGGGAGGGAGGATTGGGAGGGAGTAGTGAGAGGGAGGGAAGAAGATAGAGGACATGCCCTACAATCTGGCAGATGAGTATCACGTGGCCCAGCCCCAGCGTCTGGTAAGGCGGCTGTGCGCGAATTGCTTCGGTGTGTTATGTCCTTTCTCAGGAGTCGTCTCGACGTTGCGGCACATGTTGTAGTCATGTAGAACGTTGGTTCGGCGTTTCGTAAGGAACCGTTCCATACAAATATTGATGGGGGCTCTCAGCCTACTTAAGGCTCGCGCCGTGTCGATGCGGCGACGACCATAGCGCGGGCGTTCAAGGATGAACAGGGTGGAAACAGCATCGAGCGATCCGCGCCATCTGAAAGCCCCGATCGCTCAAGTTCGAACGAGCCACGCGGTGTCACAAAGCAACGTCAACGTCGTCACGACACGAAACTGCCGTGATGATGATGATGATGATGATGATGATGATGATGATGATGATGATGATGATGATGATGATGATGACGATGACGATGATGATGATGATGCTGATGATGATGATGATGATGGTGATGATGATGATGATGGGTATGCTGAAGTTTATGATTCTGAGGATGAGGATTACGATGTTGCTGCTGACGACGATGACGATGACGATGACGATGATGATGCTGCTGATGATGCTGATGCTGATTCTGATGATGATTATGATGATGCTGCTGATGATGATGACAGTGACGATTATGCACACGATGATGATGACGATGATGCCGATGTCGACGACGATGATGCTGCTGATGATGATGCTGATGATGATTATGATGATGATGCTGATGATGATGATGATGATGATGATGATGATGATGATGATGATGATGATGATGCGGACGCTGATGAATATGATGATGATGATGCTGTTGATGATGGTGCGGCTGCTGCTGATGCTGATAATGACGATTATGATGCTGCTGCTGATGCGAATGCTGATGCGAATGCTGATGATGATTATGCTGCTGCTGATGATGCTGACGATGATGATGATGACCAGGATGATGAACATTAGTATGAAGACGATGGCGATGGTGGTGGTGGTGGTGGTGATGATGATGTTGATGATGAGGATGATGTTGAGGACGAGTACGACGACGATGACGTTCACGATGAAGATGCTGATGACGATGATGGTTAGGATGATTGTGACGTTGTTGGTGGTAGTGATGATGATGATGATGATGATGATGATGATGATGATGATGATGATGATGATGATGAATATGAGGCTGCTGCTGCTGATGATGCTGGCGATGATGATGCTGATGCCGATGCTGATTCTGCTGCGGATGATGATGCTGCTGATGATGACGCTAATGATGTTGATGCTGATGTTGATGTTGACGACGATGAGGATGATGGTTGTGATGATGGTGATGGTTATGACGAAGTCGATCATGTGACCCCGCTGCAGGGGCTTATGACGAAGACGATACTTCCCTTCTAGCGCTGAAGCGCTGAAACACGCCGTGACCCCGCCGCAAGGGCATTGAAGGTTGAACGCCGCCAGTGGCGTGGAGTAGCATCGAGCGATCCGAGCCATCGGAAAACCGTGATCGCTCAAGTTTGAACGATGATGATGGTTGTGGTGATAGTGAGGACGACGACGATGTCCTGTTAGCGCCGAAGCGCCAACACACGTCGTGACACCGTTGCAGCATTGTATGTGAGCCCGCAGGGCAAGCCAATTATGGAAGATCGCTCAATCGTGGCCAGTTACCTGGAAGCTGATACACATGACGTGGCCAGCCTGGGCAAGAGCTGGATACACATCGTGTCCGCGTGCCTTTTCAGCGCTGGGACCTCGTATGGCTAGGTACGCCGGCCCTCCGCATACGTATCCAGCGCGAGGCCTCCAAATCCGCACGTGAATGCTGCCGTGTGTGTGTGTGTGTGTGTGTGTGTGTGCGTCGGGGTGTGTCGGGGTGTGTCGGTGTGTGTGTGTGTGTGTGTGCGTGTGTGTGTGTGTGTGTGTGTGTGTGTGTGTGTGTGTGTGTGCGTGTGTGTTCCAGCTTCCTGGTAGTTTCCAGCTCGCCACCGTCTTCGGGCTGCTCTGCGAGCCCAGCCCGGGGCACTGGCCCCCGAGCGCGGCCGCCCATGCGGGCCTCGCACGCCAGCCGAGGCGGCTGGGGAGGCACTGGCAGTTCCAGAGCAGCCCGCATCCCCTCGCGTCGCGGAACAGCGCACGGCGGGAGGTTTTTGGCACGTTTCGGCCTCGGGGACTCCGGGGAGCCTCATCGGGCCTCGGGGCCGTCAGAGACAGCTCAGCTCGGGATGGAAAGCTGGCCCCGGGGAGCAGGTCCTGAGCTCTGGGGGTCACGTTCTGAAAACATCGGGGGCCTTGGGCTCTGCGAAGGAGGGAGCTGAGGGCCCTGCACGACGTCTCACTGGCTCACCTCGGGGAGCGAAACGTTCGGCCACGCGCAGAGGGGAGCAGGGGGAGGGGGGGAGGCCTCTCAGAAGCACCCCTGCTTCTGAGGAGCCTTCCCCCGCTCCCCCTGCCCCTCTGGTGCGCGCCGCCAGGTTTTGGCTCCCTCGTCATCCGCCTCGCTCGCCAGACCCGTGCTGCCCAGAGCTGCGCTCGCAGGAGGCCCTGCCTGCGACCGCCCGCCCAGTCAAGTCCCCCTCCCCCTCTCGCCAAGCCCCCCCAAGTCCCCCTGCAGTCGGACCGAGGTGTAAGATCGAGGTCGATTCGCGGAGGGTGCCCGAGTGTTCTTCGTGCTTGCTGGGCATTCTTGTGCATCCTGGGGAGGGCGCCCCTGGATGCTCTGTGCGTTTTGGTCGACGGAGGGTCTCGTGCTCTCGAGTGATGCTCTTCTGGCCTGGGTCCGACTGTAGTCCACTTCTTCCTGGGGGGAGGGGCAAGAAGGTTTGGCTGGGGGCGCGGAGAAACGTAAGGAGGTATAACGGATGACAGAGCAACATCGACGAACAAGAGCTGTGTGGACACCGTTTTTCGGACGTCCGCGCAGATTTCTTAGATAGGCGCTGAACTCCCCTCCCTGCCACCCGGAGCGCGCCGGGGCGGTGTCAGGGGGGGGCAGGCGCCGATCCAAGAAATCCGCGCGGACCTCCGAAAGCAGGTGTTTATGCGTTTATTTGTTTGTTTGTCTGTCTGTCTGTTTGTTTGTTTGTTTGCTTGCTTGCTTGCTTGCTTTTGATTGAATTTCCATTCTTGATCCCTCCTCACCGGTGTCCATTGTTTGTTCGTTCCAACCATCTTATGGTGTTGGGCCCTCGTTTTGAATACGCATCGCCCCGCGTCCTCCTCTCCTCCTCCTCCCGCCTCCTCCTCTTCCTTCTGCCCTCCGCATGTCCATTTCGGCACATCCCTCTCACGTATCGTAGCCCCATAAGGAGCTCCACCTAAAGCCCAAGTGGCTAGGCCCGCATGCCTGGTTTGCCCAACACTGATACGTTTCGTGGCTCCATAGGAAGCCCCACCTAAGGCCACAGTGGCTGGGCCCGCATGTCTGGTCCACGCCGTTTCGGCACACCCCTCACGCGTTTCGTGGCCCCCTAGGGAGCTCCACATATGGCAAATTAATCAGCGTCCGCATGCCTGGTTCACGCCATTTCGGCGCACCCCTCACCCGTTTCGTGGTCCCATAGGGAGCCCCACCTAAGGCCCCAGTGGCAAGGCCCGCATGTCTTCTCCACACCATCTCGGCGCACCCTTCACCCGTTTCGTGGCCCCATTGGGAGCCCCACCGAAGGCCCCAGTGGCTGGGCCCGCATGCCTTGTCCACGCCATGCCAGCGCACCCCTCAAACTTTTCGTGGCCCCAAAGGGGGCTCCGACTAAGGCCTCAGTGCCAGGGCCCCCATGACTGATCCACAGCATGTCGGCACACCCCTCATACGTTTCGTGGCCCCATAGGGAGCTCCACCCACGGCGTCAGTGCCAGGGCCCCCCGCATGCCTTATCCACACCATGTCGGCGCACCCCTAACGTTTCGTGGCGCTCCAGCGCCCCGTAGGGAATTCCACCTGAGGCCCAAGCGGCTGCTTTCGAATACCTGGCCAACGCAACTTCGCACACCCCTCACGCGTTTCGTGGCCTCACAAAGAGCTCCACCGAAGGCCCAAGTGGCTGGGCCAGCATGCCTGGTCCACGCCATGTCGGCGCACCTCTCACCCGCTTCGTGGCCTCATAGGGAGCTCCACCTAAGGCCCCAGTGGTTGCATTTGCATGCCTTCTCCACACTACGATTTCCGTGCACTCCTGACTTATTTCGTGGTCCCATAGAGAGCTCTATCTGAGGCCCCAGTAGAAAGCGCGCGCTGACAGACGCGCAGATCAGCCGTACCTTAATGCATCCAGATGTGCCCCGCTACGGCCGACTTCTGCGACCCCTATCAGCAAGGTCGCTCCGTCATTCCCGCGCACGCCTTAGTCCTTGTGCTAGCCCCTTTAGTTTCACCCTGTCTTGAGATATTCGCAGCTGCATGTGTTTGGGTCCTTCGCCAGGCTAATTCAAGTGAGGTGCTCCCCCCCCGGACTCGCACCTGTTTTTTAGCATGGGAAGTCTTGATGCTCAAACTGCGTCCCTGGCCCTCGATTAATAACAACAGCGGCTCCCGCCTGATACGCCCTTCTGTGCCACTTGTGGTACTTTATTCAACATCGCGCTGTCGCGCGGGCCGTCACCACAATCTACCCGGAAATCGCGCTCTCGCTCAGGACTTGCCTTTCAGCTTGTTCGGGCGCCGCGCCTGGACGCCCCAATCGCGCTCTCGCATGAGACCTCCTCGCAATTTGCTCGGGACTCGTGCTCAGACATCTTCAGAATTTGCAGAGCTCGCTTCGATGGCCCGCCCGACCCGCCCGCTAGGGCCCGCCCGCCCGACCAGCTCGTTAGAGTCCGCCCGCCCGACCCGCCCGTTAGGGGCCGCCCGTTCGCTTGCTTGAGGCTCGCCCGCCGGCTGGAAGGCACCCGCCCGACCCGCTCGCAAGGGCCCGCCCGCTCCGCCCGCCCGCCCGGCCCGCCTGGCAGAAGGCACCCGCCCGACTCGCCCGTTGTGGTCCGCCCACCCGACCCGCTCGTCAGGGTCCGCCCGTCCGCGTGCTTGGAAGCACGCCCGCCCGCTTTGCGGCCCGCCCGCCCGACCTGCCTGTCAGGGCCCGCCCTCCCGGCTCGCCAGTCAGGGCCGGCCCGCCCGGCCTGGCCGTCAGGGCCCGCTTGCCCCACACATGGGCCCTCTTTTCTCCCCCTCCTGCTAGATCTTCTTCGCCCTCAATCCTTCTCCTCCCCTCTCGCCGCCCTCCTTCCTCGTTTCCTCCTGCTCCTCCTCCTTTCCTCGCTCTATTCCTTTCTCTTCTCCCTCCTCCAACTACACGTGGCAGGCATAGAAGATACGCACCCAAAGGGGGGGAACGATCGAAGACGAAGAGGGAGGGTACCGAACGAAACGCGAGTAACGAAGAGCGATCAGCCTCAAGATGCTTGTTTTTTTCCTGGCGGAGAATGGGGAGGGGGAGGGGGGTCGACGGGCGCATGCGCGTGCCAGGTGGCCCAGAGCGGGGGCCACAGGGACATCACGCAGTACCGCCTGCTCACCCCTGGCGAGGCGCAGTACTCCTCCGACGAGTCCGACGAGGACTGCAGGCCGCGCCCCCAGCGCCGCGAGCCTAGGCATGCGCGAACGCCAGGCGGCCAGGCACCTCCAGGGGGGGAGGGGGAGGAGGGGGAGGAGGGGGAGGAGGAGGAGGAGGAGGAGGAGGAGGAGGAGGAGGGGAGGGAAGGAGGAGGAGGAGGAGGAGGAGGAGGGAGGAGGAGGAGGAGGAGGAGGAGGAGGAGGGGGAGGAGGAGGGGAGGTGGAGGATGAGGAGGAGGAGGAGGGGGGGAGGAGGAGGGGGAGGTGGAGGAGGAGGAGGAGGAGGAGGAGGAGGAGGAGGAGGAGGAGGAGGAGGAGGAGGGAGGAGGAGGAGGTGGGAGGAGGAGGAGGAGGAGGAGGAGGAGGAGGAGGAGGAGGAGGAGGAGGAGGGAGAGGAGGGAGGGTTTGGGCTCTGCGGCCTACCTGACCCGATACCGAACAGACCGCATTGGGCACTGACCCTAAGTGTTGCCACGTTCATTTGATACGAGTGGCCACGGTTTTTTTCCCATCTTCAGATCTCCCAGTCTTTTCTGTTCTTTCTGCTTCTCAGCACAGAAGACAGCGAGCAAAGCGGGCCGAATATCGACTGGTGCTGCGAGCTTTGAAGGCAGAGAACCGGCTGTTTCAACATCACGCGTCCCCACGGAGAGTAACCATGGGGGGCCAGCCCGATGGGAAGGGCAAGGCCAAGGGCGGTGGCAAGCGTGGCAAGGAAGGCAAGGGCCCCGTCTGGCCATTGATGCCAGGACCTTTGCCCAGGGCTGTGCCATCGCCCCCCCCCCGACGACAGATCTGGACACTTCAGCGAGAGCCTGGACTTGTCTGGTTTGTGGAATCTCTATCAATTTAAAGCTCAGCTGGTGCTGGCAGTGTGGTCAGCATTGAGGTGCCAGCAGCTCGCCTCCTCTTCCTCATCAGTCTGGCCCGCCTGCAGCAAACCACATGCAGGGCAAGGGCAAAGGCAAAGGTGGGGGGAAAAAGGGTGGCAAGCGTGAGAGGGGCAAACTGCCCGACGGCCACCCAGTCTTCGCAGGCCAATCTCCAGAGTCAAGAGCTTCATCTGACGGAACATCGGGTAAGAAGCCCAACGAGTCGCCGATCCAGCTGCTGCAAAATGTCTTGGACCAGGTCAACCTTCTGGCGGATGTCGAACCCGACGGGGGATCGCAGGCAGAGGCTGCGGCATTGGCGGCTCAGGGTATGGATTTGCTTCTCACCTCCTTGCGCGAGCAACGAGATGAGGCCACGACGGGCTTTCAGAAGATGCAGCAACAGCACTCACGCATTCAGAAGGCCCAGAAGGAAGTCGAGAAGTGTGCAGAGTCGGTCGAGGACTACAGGTCACGCATGGAGGCTTTGGATCAGCAAGGAGGAGTCAGTAGCGCTGTTTTCGGATGCTCAGAAGAAGCTCGAGACAGCGACCCTCGATTTGCGCAACCTAAAGCCTGACAAAGAAGAATCGGATAAGATGGCTGTGGATCGGACTGAGGAGCCCATGTCAAACGCAGATATGGCGGGAGTTCCCCAGCAGTGCACGAAGACGATCACGGGTCCAATGGCCAAGATTGTCAGAGGACCCACCGAGGAGCTCGTCAAGGCAATGGGCAAGGCAGTGGCAGCCCGAGCTGCGGGCACGGTGGCAAATACGGCATCGGGGGCGACGCCAGCACATGACCCCCGCCCCGCCCCAGCAGCGGAGCCGCCGATGCAGCCAGCAGGCAGCCAGGCCCCCGCCACCGCCGCACAGGCAGGAGGCGAGCCGCGGCCTGGTGCCGCTGTGGAGGCCTCCCGTCCTGAGCACGCACCGCAGCCCGCCGAGCCTCGAGGCAGGCAGGAGGTCGAAGCACCTCGCGAGGCGGGGCGCTCGTCCCGCTCCACGCACAGGGTTGAGCGGGCGCCTCCTGCATCTGATCTGAGGGAGGGGCGGGGCCGGCGGAAGGGGCTTCGTGGGACGGGGGGGCTATAGTCTGATGGGTAGCACCTGTGGGGGGCTAGGCCCCAGGGTGCATCACCCGCCACTTTGCCTTCGTTCAAGCAACGAGTGTTTACAACTTGTAATGGGTCTTGTTTTTCTACAGCGCAAAAGTTTTTAGAATCCACCCAGGCCTCGGCCGTTTTCATTCAGGAATACAGGCTACAGGGGCAAGAGCTAGCGCATGCACCGGCGAAGCTGTCTCGGTTAGGATGGCGTTCCTACTGGGCCCCTGCGTCCTTCAACACATCCACGGGCCGTGCATCCGCAGGTGTGTTTATTTGTGTGCGGAGTTTCTTGGATTCCTGGCAAGAGTCGCTTCGGGCCTCAGTCGTGAGGCCCCATAGGCAGGTGCACTGTTATTTGCGCTCTTGTTAGCTGGGAGTTTTTCCCCACATGCTTAGTGGGGTTCTGGTTTTCTTCACTGCCGCGTCGCACCCGCGTCCTCCTGGAACCTCCCTCCTCCCCTCCTCCCCTTCTTCTCCTCCTTCTCCTCCTCCTCCTCCTCCTCCTCCTCCTCCCCACGCACGCAGCACAGCACAGCTCAGCACAGCTCAGCTCAGCTCAGTTCAGCTCAGCACGGCACAGCTTAGCACAGCTCAGATCAGCTCAGCACAGCACACCATGGGACAGCACGGCACAGCACAGCACAACACAGCGCAGGACAGCACAGCGAAGCGCAGGGGGTGGTCTCCCTATCCGTTGTGGGCTCGCACAGCGTGGCAGGCGTGGCACTTTCTCGACACCAAAGAGGCTGCGCACGGGGTGGTCTCCTCACCGCGGCCGCTATCCACGACATTGTTTCTCGACGCCAGACGGGGTGCGCAGGGGGTGGTCTCTCACCGCGGCCGCTATCCACGACACTGTTTCTCGACGCCAGAGGGGGTGCGCAGGGGGTGGTCTCTCACCGCGGCCGCTATCCACGACACTGTCGAAAAGCCTAGCAGGCGCGGCAATGTCTCGACGCCAGAGGGGGTGCGCAGGGGGTGGTTTCTCACCGCGGCCGCTATCCTCGACACTGTCGAAAAGCCTAGCAGGCGCGGCAATTTCTTGACGCCAGGGGGTGCGCAGGGGGTGGTCTCTCACCGCGGCCGCTATCCACGACACTGTCGAAAAGCTTCGCAGCGCTGCAATTTCTCGACGCCAGAGGGGGTGCGCAGGGGGTGGTCCCTCACCGCGGCCGCTATCCACGACACCGTCGAAAAGCCTGGCAGGCGCGACAATTTCTCGACGCCAGAAGGGGGTGCGCAGGGGGTGGTCTCTCACTGCGGCCACTATCCACGACACTGTCGAAAAGCCTCGCAGGCGCGACAATTTCTCGACGACAGAGGGAGTGCGCAGGAGTGGTCTCTCACCGCGGCCGCTACCCACGACACTGTCGAAAAGCTTCGCAGGCGCGGCAATTTCTCGACGCCAGAGGGGGTGCGCAAGGGGTGGTCTCTCACCGCGGCCGCTATCCACGACATTGTCGAAAAGCTTCGCAGGCGCGGCAATTTCTCGACGCCAGAGGGGGTGCGCAAGGGGTGGTCTCTCACCGCGGCCGCTATCCACGACACTGTCGAAATGCCTAGCAGGCGCGGCAATTTCTCGACGCTGGAGGGGGTGCGCAGGGGGTGATCTCTCACCGCGGCCGCTATCCACGGCATTGTCGAAAGCCTAGCAGGCGCGGCAGTTTCTCGACGCCAGAGGGGGTGCGCAGGGGTTGGTCTCTCACCGCGGCCGCTATCCACGACACTGTCGAAAAGCCGATCAGGCGCCGCAATTTCTCGACGC